AAAAATACATAATTAGCCAGGCAGGGTCACGTACACCTGCAATCCCAACCACTTGGGAGGCTGAGGCAGGAGAATCGCTTGAAACCAGGAGACAGATGTTGCAGTGAGCCAAGATTGCGCTCCAGCTTGGACAACAAGAGCGAAACTCTCTCTCAAAAAAAAAAAAAAAAAAAATCAGTATAGGCCAATTGCAGTGGCTCACGCATGTAATCCCAGCACTTTGGGAGGCTGAGTTGCGCAGATCATCTGAGGTCAGGAGTTCAACACCAGCCTGGCCAACATGGTGAAACCTCATCTCTACTAAGTAAAGTACAAAAATTAGTTGGGCGTGGTGGTACACATCTGCAATCCCAGCTACTCTGGAGGCTGAGACACAAGAATCGCTCGAACCTGGAAGCAGAGGTTGCAGTGAGCCGAGATTACGTCACTGCACTCCAGCCTGGGTGACAGAGCAAGACCCTGTCTCAAAAAAAAAAATAAAAAGTTAAAACCATTATAAAGGTATGGTCAACCATTTTACTGTACTTTTACCGTACGTTCTACTTTTAAACATACCAAGAACCATCACAGACTGAAATTTAATTTGCCTGTGAATTAGAAGGGAATGCTGTGGTTACATTATAATATTTCACTAATTTATATATGGAGTACCATGAGGTGTTTTAAAATGTAGATGTAGAAAGAGAAGAAGCATAAGAGAGAACATACATATTTAATTGTGAAAAATGATACACACTCATTGTTTGCAAAATAAAAAGTAAGGCACACAGTCTTGAACTTATGCCATTTGAAATAGAAAAGAACCAACACTGATTTTATTATCTTGGGAGAGATGCCTGTAGAATCTGTGCTTTAAGTTTGTCTCTTAAACATGAGAAAGCAAGAATGAGGAAGTATTGGGTGGACTCAGTGGGTCACACCTAAATTCCAGCACTCCGGGAGGTCAAGGTGGGTGGATCACTTGAGGCCCGGAGTTGAAGATCAGCCTGACCAATGTGGTGAAACCCCATCTCTACTAAAAAATACAAAAATTGGCCGGGCGTGATGGCAGGCACCTGTAATCCCGATTACTAGGGAGGCTGAGGTATGGGGTTACTTGAACCAGGGAGGCAGAGGCTGCAGTGAGCTGAGACTGTGGCACTCCACTGCAGCCTGGGTAACAGAGCAAGACTCTGTCTCGAAAAAGAACAACAACAAAAACGAGGAAGGCTAAAAGTAGATCTGATAGTACGTGATTTAAGCTGAATATCTTCCTCTCTCCTGCAGGGGTGCACTATGTATTTGATACAACAATAGCCGCAGATTTTAGTATCCTGGAGAGTCAAAAAGAATTCGTGCGTCGCTATCGCCAGCACAGTGAGGAGGAGCGCACCCTGCCCATGCTGACCTCTGCCTGTCCTGGTGAGCCCCTGGATCCCATTCTGTCGGCCTGTGGTGCTGTTTCACCAGAGTCTGCAGTCACTGGCTGAGGTTGGAAACAGACACACCCATCCCACCCAGCCGTGTGGACCTGGAGGGAAGATCTTGGCCTGATTCCTGGAGGGTATTTGACGTTTCGGGACAGCAAATTCATTTATTTTTTCATCAGAGGTGCCACACTGGGAAGGCCAGTTAATTAATTTTTTTTTCGAGACAGAGTTTTGCTTTTGTCGCCCAGGCTGGAGTGCAGTGGCGCAATATCGGCTCACTGCAGCCTCTGCCTCCCGGGTTCAAGCAGTTCTCCTGCCTCAGCCTCCTAAGTAGCTAGGATTACAGGCAGGCACTACCACGCCCAGCTAATTTTTGTAGTTTTAGTAGAGATGAGGTTTCACCATGTTGGCCAAGATGGTCTTGATCTCTTGACCTTGTGATCTGCCTGCTTCGGCCTCACAAAGTGCTGGGATTACAGGCTGAGCCATTGTGCCCGGCCTATTTATTTATGTTTAATATTGATTTATTTATTTAGAGACAGAGTTTTGCTCTTGTTGCTCAAGCTGGAGTGGCACAATCTCGGCTCACCACAACCTCCACCTCCAGGTCTCAAGAGATTCTCTTGTCTGAGCCTCCCAAGTAGTTGGAATTTCAGGCACATGCCACTGTGCCCAGCTAATTTTTATGTTTTTAGTGGAGACGAGGCTTCACCATATTGGCCGGGCTGGTCTTAAACTCCTGACCTCGGATGATCCGCCTGCCTCGGCCTCCCAAAGTGCTGGGATTACATGCTTGAACCACCGTGCCCAGCCCAGGCAGTTCTCTTGAGCCCAGGAGTTTGAGACCAGCCTGGGCAACATGGTGAAACCCTGTCACTATGGCTTGTTTGTTTTTTTCTGGAGACAGACTCTCACTCTGTTGCCCAGACTAGAGTGCAGTGGTGTGATCTTGGCTCATTGCAACCTCCACCTCCTGGGTTCAAGCAATTCTCATGCTTCAGCCTCCCGTAGCTGAGATTACAGGCTAGCACCGCCATGCCTAGCTAATTGTTGTATTTTTAGTAGAGATGGGGTTTTGCCATGTTGGCCAGGCTGGTCTTGAACTATTGGCCTCAAGTGATATATAGACGTGAGCCACCATACCCGTCCTCTAATTTTTAAAATAAAAATCTTTTAAAAGGAAAAGAAAAACAGGCCAGGCATGGTGGTTCACAGATGTAATCCCAACAATTTAGGAGTTTGACATGGGAGGATTACTTGAGCCTAGGAGTGTGTGACCAGCCTTGTCAACATAGTGAGACCTGTGTCTGCAAAAAACAAAAAGCCAGGGATGGTGGCATGTACCTATAATCCTATCTACTACGAATCCTAGGTTGAGGTGAGTGAATTGTTTGAGCCAAGGAGTTCAAGGCTGCAGTGAACTATGATTCTCCATTGTATTCTAGCCTGGGCGAAAGACTGAGGTACTGTCTTTTAAGATGCTTTGCAAATACTCTAATACAATGTATGTATCCCCATGAATAAAGGAGTCAAATACAATATTGAAATGCTTTTAAGAAAATCTGTTTTCTCTTGAAAGTATGACATGTCTCCGAGGTACAAATAATTATAGAATAGCACAGCAGACATTCGTATATCCTTTGGCAGCTTAAAAAAATGCAGAATAAGAAAATTCTTTACATTGATATTCAGATACTCTCAGGGAGCACTGTTTAAACCCCTCTAACCAGTTTAGGATGCCGAGTTATAGAAAAGATTCATCACTTGCTTTTCAATTCTGGAAAAATAGAGTTTGGGTTAAGAAATTTTCGAAGAAGCATAATGGAATAAGGAAAGGAATGGCTATCTTGGCGAACAACATTAATTAAAAATTATTCTAAACACATGAAGCCTGTGGGAGCATAGGAGAGCTCTATCTAAGCTAGTCATAGGCTGTATAATTTTTAGGGTTTGGTTCACGTTTCAGTTCTCAATTTATGCTCCCCCTACTATGGTTTCAAATTTTTCTAGCGTTTCACATGTCAACATTTAGTCATTAGGATTACGAATTAATGAGATAGAACATTGACATCGTAGTTAGTTCGAGTTTGGAGTTAACTCTCTAGCCATTTATAAAATAGAGGAAATGTACCATCTGTTCAGTGGGCTGCATTGGTTGGCTCGTTATCTGATCTGTGTCTTTCGCCAGCAACCCACAGCCTACTGTGATCTCAGCTCCAGATGGGGTTGGGGATGTTAGTGACGTCTTTCAGGTATATGGTTTGCTTTAGTGTAAGTGATTCATAGATTTTTCTATCAAAGGTTTAAGTATAAATCATTTGACTCCAGATATAGCCTTTTGCTAAATTGTGAGTATTGCATTCAGCTCTTCTGGCATTTTGGGTGTTTTTCCAGGTGTAAAGGGATAATTTCCGCACTTGAGGGTTTGGGAGGCTGCCTGGGCCCTGCATGGCCTGGGAGTACCTGGTGTTTGTGTGCAGAGCCTGCCTCTGTGGCCCTCTTGCTGGAGTGATCTCCTTTTGGGACCCATCACATGATGCTACAGACAACATGGCTTCACAACACCAACCACACTTGCTTAGTTCCGCCCCCAACCAAGGAAGAGGCCATGTAAAACTATGCAGAACTAAGGCCCATGCCCTTGGAGCAGTGGTGTCTAAATTATAAAAAATTTAAAAACTGGCCGGGCACAGTGGCTCATGCCTGTAATCCCAGCACTTTGGGAGGCCAAGGAGGGAGGATCACCTGAGGTCAGGAGTTCGAGACCAGCCTGGCCAACATGGCAAAACCCTGTCTCTACTAAAAATACAAAAATTAGCCAGATGTGGGGGTGCATATCTGTAGTCCCAGCTACTCAGGAGGCTGAGACAGGAGAATTGCTTGAACCCAGGAGGCAGAGGTTGCAGTGAGTTGAGATCATGTCACTGCACTCCAGCCTGAGTGACAGAGCTAGACTCTGTGTCCAAAAATAAAAAAGATGCAGTCTTGCTCTGTCACCCAAGGTGGAGAGCAGTGATGCAATCATAACTCACTGCAGCCTCGAACTCCTGGGCTCAACGCCATCTTCCTGCCTCAGCCTCCCAAGTAGCTGGGACTACAGGTGTGCACCACCACGCCTGGCTGATTTTTTAATTTTGGTAGAGACAGAATCTCACCATGTTGCCCAGACTGGTCTTGAATTCCTGCCCTCAGGTGATCCGCCTGCCTCCCAAAGTATTGGGATGACAGGGATGAGCCAAAACGCCCAGCCTGGGGCGTTTCTTAGTGGCTACTTCTGTGTCTCTGTGGGTGTTTCCTGAGCAGGATGTGTTTATAGGTGAGACTTTCGTTGTTAAATGGGATTATCATGTCTGACTGGGGCATGAGCTGCCTGTCACCCTCTGGGAGACCTTCCCCTCTAGGAGTGGAGTCTACCCAGGTGTCTACACAGCCCCCGTTTGAGGGCAGGTAGTGTGGCTCTCATGTGCACAGGTGTGCCAGTGTCTGTGGGGTCAGGGCCTAGAATCAGTTGCCAGGTCAGCAGGTTCTGTGATGCTCTGATGCGCTCTGACTGGGCTGTGCCCCAGCAGGAAAGGAGCCGGCAGGGCTCCTGCAGTGGAATTGCTGCTGTGTGGTCAGCTGCAGTGGTGGCTTGTGTTCACCCTGGAAACCACCGGAGCAGTGGGGCCCTCAGGGAAGTGCTCAAATTGTGCAGGCATGTAGTGACCTTACAGATTTTGCTATTTATTATGACTTGGGGAGTATAGATTTCTTATACTTTCAGAAGTATGCAGTTGTTGGGCTGTGAATTTCTAGTCGGTGAGTGAAGTTGGGCAAGCGTGTGGCTGCTCTCCCCTGAGCAGTGACCACGTGTTCTAGCTGCGAGGACTCCGCAGCTGGCCAGGGGATTTCTCACAATACAGCCTAGGCCACTGTTCCTGCTGCCCTTCAGTGCTTATTTCCCTTCACCTTTTTGGAGGACCTGTTACTCTGACTCTTACCTCTATCCTGTCCGCCTTGCAGGGACAGTCCCATTTCCCAGTAGCCTCCAGGCCTGCAGGTTCCCATGACCCACAACCTGTCCCTTGAAGACAGGTTGTGGGTCGAGGACAAGCTCCTGATAAAGCCTGAGGAAGAGGTGCCCTGGTTTCACCTTGGGGCGACAGGGACTCAGGAGCTGAGCGTTCCTGGTGTGTTACAGGAAGACCAGAGGAAGCAGTAAGGAGCTGAGCATGGATCCCTTCTTTCCCCAGGCTGGGTCCGATATGCGGAGCGGGTGCTGGGTCGCCCCATCACTGCCCACCTCTGCACTGCCAAGTCCCCCCAGCAGGTCATGGGCTCTTTGGTGAAGGATTATTTCGCCAGACAGCAGGTAAGCTGACCTCTGTCTGGAGGACAGGAAGGGCAAGTGAGGGAGGGCCATGGCACAGAGGCCCAGGAAGGGGAAGGGGAGGGGGAGGTTTCCCTATCTGTCCAGGGTGGTCACAGCCCCACTGGTGAGCACAAGGGAAGCTGTGGCTTCAAGAAACGTCAGCAGTGCCATTTCTCACCAACGCCCGTCTCTGTTCCTCCCTTCCTTCTTCTTAGAATCTCTTTCTTTCTTAATCTTTTCTGTGGCATCTGGTGGTTCTCCTGGGCCCATTTGGGTGGAGTAGAAATGCTGCCCATCCTGCTGAGAATGAGGTCCTGGGCCTCGCCCAGAGATGCTGCTGCCTGCTGTTCAGACACCTCACCTAAGGAGGCCTGGGGTGGCCTGTGCCTGGAGACCAAGGGCCACTGTCATTTAGGGAGCCAATCCAGGCCTCTGCCCTGGCCTTTCCCTCAGACCATGGGCAGCACATGACTTGTTAGCCGCTTCCGTGAGATTCTGCGGTGGCCGCGATGCTGTCTTCCACTTGATGGAGTGAGTCCTGGCCTGGGGCTCCTGGGTGTCCCCTGCCTCGGTCCATCATCTTTTCCTTTCCCACAGCCCTCTGCGGCCCCCAGGTTCTCCAGAACCCCCTGATGTCTCCAAGGCCACCCTCTAAGGGACCCTCATCCTGTGGTTTATTCTCCAGCAGCTGGCACGCCCCACACTGCTCTTCTCAGTCAGACTTTACTAAACCCCTGCTCCGTGGGAACAGCCATGGCCAGGCACTGTGGTAACCAGAGTAGAGGGCAGTGTCGGGATCTTTCAGACATTTGAAGTCAGCCTGAAGAGGCACGCACAGTTGGCAGCCTTGTCATTTTAGCAATAGGTAGTGTTTTCTTTCTCCCTAGTTTCTTTCTACCCATAAAGTCACAATTTGGCAAATTATAAACATGATGTCAGAGTATATGTGTTCAGTTTAGGCAGGACTGAAAAATGAGCTATGGAACTTTACGCCTGTCCCTTGCCCTGCCCCCACCTGAAGGGATCCATGCATTTCCAGGTCTTCTGCAAGCTGCCAGCCTGCCCCCTCTCCCATGGCTAGAGCCCAGAGCTATGGGCCCTCCTATAGTTGCTGTGAGGGGCAGCTGCAGAGACCCAGCCTCCAGCAGCCCCCTCACCTGACCACCTGGCAGGGCTGCAACCAGGGGCAGGTTTTCTCTTTTGCTCTTCCCCTGCCCCGAGTGGGGCCCTTCCACCCAGACCTCACCATGGGGTCACTTGGCAACTGCCGGCTCCTGGCTTTGCTACCAGTTAGGGCCCAGCCATAGGCACCTGCTCTGTGTGGCAAGGCCCTAGGAGAGGGGTAGCTTGGGTGGGCTGGAAAGTCTGCGGGTAAAGCAGCCAGCGCACATATATACCCAGGCTCCCGGCAGCGGCTCCACGCTGGGCCTCCCGTGTGTTTTGTCCCCATGTGCGCAGGTTCAGGAGGAAATGGGCTCAGCCACCCTGGTTCTCCGCTGGCTGCGGGGCTTTGCAGACGGTTTGGGTGGGCCACACTCAGTCCCAAGGCAGGCAGCAAACAGACACGGATGGAGTGCTGGTGCTCAGTAGAGCTGAAGATGGGATGGGAGCCAGATGTGGCTGCAGTAACTTTGTACGGCCTGGCCTCAGACTCACAACTGCCCCAGCCCCAAGAAAGTGCTGCATGTAGCCAGGCACGGTGGCTCACGCCTGTAATCCTAGCATTTTGGGAGGCCGAGGTGGCCAGATTGCCTGAGCTCAGAAGTTCGAGACCAACCTGGGCAACACAGTGAAACCCCATCTCTACTAAAGTACAAAAAGTTTGTTGGGCATGGCAGCATGCACCTGTAGTCCTAGCTACACGGCAGGCTGAGGCAGGAGAATCGCTTGAACTCAGGAGATGGAGGTTGCAGTGAGCCAAGATCCCACCACTGTACTGCAGCCTGGGCAACAGACTTAAGACTCCATCTCAAACAAACGAAAAAGGAAGTGCTGCATGCAGTGTCAGGGAGGGCAGCAGCAAGCGGGCGTCTCCATCCCTCTTGCCGTGGCACCAAACACAAGCTGCTGTCGTCACCTCTCCACCATCCCTGAACATGGGTGCCCCTCTCCCACAGAACCTGTCCCCAGAGAAGATTTTCCATGTCATCGTGGCCCCTTGCTATGACAAGAAGCTGGAGGCTCTTCAGGAAGGCTCTCTCCCCACTTTGCATGGCTCCCGGGGCACTGACTGCGTGTTAACATCAGGTGAGAGGTGGGGGGTGGTGCACCTGGGCGCTGGGGACATCCCCAACTGGCCAGTGCACACCAGAGCCAGGGAGATCTGCGCCCCAGAGTCATCCCAGTGCCTGCCACTGTGGTCAGTTGTCTGAAGTTACTGACAGCTGAGGGTCTTAGGGGCTTAATTGCACGAAGGTGAAGAGAAGGGTAATGTTTGATCTAGCCTCCTGTCTTCTCTGTGCGTCTTCCTCAAGATAAATCAGGTCTCTGGGAGAACCACTTGGGCAGTGTGATGGCCCTAACTTTACATTACAGTCTACATAAGGTACTTACCTCTCGGTAGGAAAGTTGTCTGCTGCCATAGTAGGTCTCCTTCTCACAAACCAGGTCTGCACTGACAGCACCAGTGAAGTTTTTCTCAGAGTAAAATGAAAAAGGCACATTTGCTCCAGTGACGTTGCCTTTAGCACTGTATTGGCCTTGCCTTTCAGACATTGAGAGTCTGCAGTGAGTTCTGTGTGTGTCGTGGTTAGAAGTCATTCCCTGGAATTGTGTAGAACCCATTCAGAAGAATGTTGACATCAGTTGGCAGGGGAAGCTTAAGATGTTGAAATTCTGGTGGATCTGTTTTAATTGGTCTCTGAAAACAAGTCCTTGCAGGTATTTAAAGCACTGGTAGGTTAGGCAGAGAGGTCATCTCTCAGCTCTCAGGGACAACCTTTAAGGGCACCAATACCCCTCACAGGCCGCAACTTGACATTCTAGCACATAGACACCTCTGGAAAGGTCCCCACGCCATAGGCACAGGCTCCCTGTGGAGTGACGTGGCAGGCATGTTGAAGGATGAGAGGCAGAAGGGCCCTCAGCACTGCCATCCTTCATTCAAAGAGGAAGGTACCAGCAGCCATCTGCTTATGTTGACAAAATAAAAACACGTGATGGGCTGTCAGAAGAACCATATCCAGCCATCTTGTTTCTGAGTGCAGATTCATAGTAAGTTATGCTGTTTTTAGTTTGTTTTGTTTTGTTTTGAGACAGAGTTTTTGTTCCTGTCACCCTGGCTGTAGTGCAATGGTGTGATCTCGGCTTACCACAACAACCCCTGCTTCCTGGGTTCAAGTGATTCTCTGCCTCAGCGCCCCTGGTAGCTAGCATTACAGGCACGAGCCACCACACCCGGCTAATTTTTGTAATTTTAGTAGAGACACGGTTTCACATGTTGGCCAGGATGGTCTCGATCTCTTGACCTCGTGATCCTCCCGCCTCGGCCTCCCAGAGTGCTGGGATAACAGACATGAACCTCCGTGCCCAGCCTATGCTGTTTTCTTACCTGTGTTTCCAGCCATCTCACAGCATCTGATGTGATGCCACAGCCATGGTTTTAGAGACTCAGTTTTTCTCTTAAGGATTTTTTCAGGCATCCTTGTGTGAAAGGAAATACAGAAAGTGGTTCTCACTTTCAGTTGATCTCGCTGCAGAATAAGCATACATCATAAAAACCTACCCAGGTGCAGTGGCTCAGGTCTCTAATTCCAGCTACTCAGGAGGCTGTGGCTGGAGGATCACTTGAACCCAGGAGTTTGAGACCACCCTGGACAACATAGTGAGATAGTGAGACGTCGTCTCTTTTTTTATGAGACAGATCTCACTCTGTCGCCCAGGCTGGAGTGCAGTGGCTCGATCTCAGCTCACTGTAACCTCCGCCTCCCAGGTTCAAGGGATTCTTCTTGCCTCACCCTCCCGAGTAGCTGGGATTACAGGCATGCACCACCACACCTGGCTAATTTTTGTATTTTTAGTAGAAAGGGGGTTTCGCCATATTGGCCAGACTGGAGACCTCATCTCTTCAAAAAAAAGAAAAAAAGGGCTGGGCACAGTGGCTCACACCTGTAATCCCAGCACTTTGTGAGACTGAGGTGGGCGGATCACCTGAGGGACCAGGAGTTCGAGACCAGCCTGGCCAACATGGTAAAATCCCGTCTCTACTAAAAATACAAAAAGTAACCTGGCATGGTGGCGTGTACCTATAATCCCAGGTACTCGGGAGGCTGAGGCAGGAGAATCACTTGAACCCAGATGGCAGGGGTTACAGTGAGCCAGGATGGTGCCAGTACACTCCAGCCTGGGCTGTGGAGTGAGACCCTGTCTCAAAAAAAATGGAACCAGTATATGTTTTGTCATCCTGTGTCTGTGAGCTTGTTATACACAAAAGTTTTCTGTTTGTTTCATGCAAAGTGGACCAAAAAAAGTTTTCCACATGGGAAAATCATGGAGAGATTGTTTACAGAAATCCAACAGTTCAAGGGCAGAAAGAGGAATGGAAAGAGGAATTAGAATTGAACTCTGCTTACGTTGTATTAATGTTTTGTTTTATTGGCCTCACTTTGCCCTAAAGATGGGCTCCTGCTCTCTGTGATGGATATTTCACAGGAGGGAGGACATCCAAAGTCACTAATGTCAAATTCCCTGCAGGGGAAGAAAAGTTCTGTGGCCACCTGTGTCTTTTCAGTGTCTCTACTTCGTTTGCCTGTAGGTGAAATTGCTCAAATAATGGAGCAAGGTGACCTCTCAGTGAAAGATGCCGCCATCGACACTCTGTAAGTAGGTTCTTAGGAGGCTGCTCTGGGGGGCAGGGCCTCCCATGATCCCTGCCAGGCCCAGGGCTGCCCTGCTTTATGAGGAGGCCATGTGAAGCCCTGAGATGCAGTCCCCAGGCCCTGCCACAACCATCAGCCACCCTCCTGGCTGTCGAATGAGACACCATTCACTAGGGCTGCCAGGAAGTTGGGAGGCTTGGTGGGGTTCTGTAATTACCACCCTAAACCCTCGAGGAAGGAGGAGAAGCACAAACAGCTTTGTCCTCCCTGGGCCAGGGCCGTTAATGTGTGCACCAGCCCCTCCTTCCTGAGTGCTGTCTGCCTCACGTTCCGTGTGGCCTGTCGGGCAGTGGGGCAGCTCCCGCAGGCCCCTTCGCACCAAGAGTGGCAGGCTGGGTTCTTCTGCGGGCGGTGACCTTGACACCCACTGAGGCCTGGGGCTCCTGCTGCACCCGAGGCATGGGCAGAGAGTACCACAAAAGCAGAAGTGTGTGTCCTTGCCAACACTCTGCATCCCAGGTGCTGCATTCGTACCCTTTTGGGGGAAGGTGGGATTGCAGTTCACAGAATTTTTACAGAATTTAAGCATCTGTGGGGCCAGGCATGGTAGCTCATGCCTATAATCCCAGCACTTTGGGAGGCTGAAGTAGGAGGATCACTTGAGTTGAGGAGGTGGAGGCTGCAGTGCCACTGCACTCCACCCTGGGAGACAGAACAAGACCCTGTCTCAAAAGAAAAAGACTAAGCATCTGGAGCACCTGCAGGGGCCCAGCATGACCGAGAGTCCTCTGCCTTCCCCGAGCATCAGGCAGGCCCTCCTGAGTCCCCTCAAGATGCCAGAAATGGGACTTTCTCCAAAGTTTAAACATCTGTAGAGGATTTAGCTTCTTTGGTGGCGCCCTTGGATTGTGATGCCCTTTGGAAGTCTGCTTTCGCGTTTGCTGTGACTGTCGGCAGTCATGAAGGACTTGTCTTTTCTCTGCCTGGTGAGGTTTGGAGACTTGAAGGAGGACAAAGTGACGCGCCACGATGGAGCCAGCTCGGACGGGCACCTGGCACACATCTTCAGACATGCGGCCAAGGAGCTGTTCAACGAGGATGTGGAGGAGGTCACCTACCGAGCCCTCAGGTGTGGGGCAGCATCCACAGCCTGTCTGTGCCTGTGGTCAGCGCGTGTGCGTGGCGTGCATGCATGGATGTGTGCATGCTAGTTTTATCTATGAGTTTATACCAGTTAAAAGGCCTTTTTTGTATTTATTCAGATCTTTTATTTTGCCGACTTTCCAGCCTTATGTTAGAAATTGTTCGCTAAGTGACAGATAAAGGATTTGACGGATCAAAATTCTCTGTGTTCATTTTGTAGAAACAAAGACTTCCAAGAGGTCACCCTTGAGAAGAACGGGGAGGTCGTGTTACGCTTTGCTGTAGCCTATGGCTTTCGAAACATCCAGAACATGATCCTGAAGCTGAAGAAGGGCAAGTTCCCATACCACTTTGTGGAGGTCCTTGCCTGTGCTGGAGGTGAGGCGCCAAGAGCAGCACCTGGCTCTGTCCCCTGAGGGTGCTCAGGCCTCATTGGCCCTGCAGCCGCCAAAGAGACAGCGCTCTTGGCCACCCAGAGCCTCTCAGCCCCAAGAGCTCTGTAGGGTGTGGATGCTCCTATGGGGCTTGTGCTGGGACATTCTGGGCTCCGTTGGTTTCACTCTTTCCCTCAACCCATGTAGCGTGTGGGCATTGTCTTGGGGATATCCCCTCACGAGGCCCCACGTGGCACCAGGTGAGAGTCAGCCTGTGGCAGCAGGCTTGGAGAACAAACAGCAAGGGTCAAGGTTGCCCTGCCTGGAAGAAACACCCTTGCCTCCTGCCAGGTGCCAAGGATAAGCCAGCTCTGTCCTGAGTGACGGGAGAGACCAGTGAGAGGTGAAAGCAGGAAGGGTGTGACCCAGCCTGGGCCTGGGGGGCTCCCCTGCTGTGTGGCGGGAGGGTGGGCCACTGTGGGCTGTGATTGTCCAGGCAAGCAAGAAGGATGCCCATCTGGGGCAGGGGGAGAGAGAGGACGAGAGGAGGCCTGGATGGGCGGGGTTCCCCGGGAAGGACTTTTTGATGGTGTAAGTGTCAGGGAAGAAGGGAGCCCCTGCCCCTGACCCATGTGGTCCATCTATGCCCCTGGTGGGGAACTGAGGACCTCTGTGCCATTGTGAGTCGGGGGGACACCACAAGGGGCTTGAGGGGAAATGCTGGGTGCAGCAGGTCAGCTGGAGGAGCGGCTCCACTGATGGCAGATGAGTGGGACAAGGTGTGAAGCCACAGGATGGGAGGGGCCCCTGGGCAGGTCACAGACAGGGATGCAGCTGGAGACCCTGCCCTGGTGTCCTTCAACACAAAGGATCTCCTAGAAGAGGGGAGGCCCCAACCAGCACTGAGAAGAGGAAGGTGAGGGCAGAGAGGCAGGCACTGGTTCTGGGGGAGCATGTGGCCTTGGAGGCCTCACTGAGCATTCTAGGGGCACAGAAGAGTGGGTCCCACGGCTGGGCTGAGGAGCAACCAGGAGGTGGCTGTGAAGCAGGGCCTCTGGGAGGGCCTCTGCGTGCAAGCCAGCCCCCTGGGAAAGTAGAGGTTGGAGACCAGCTAGGATGCTGCCCTGGAACCCATGAGGAGTGAAGTTTAACCAGGAAATTGGCTCCAGATTGTTTTAAATGAACCTCTTAGGTTACTAAGAGTGATGGTATCTAACATGCTACAGAGTAAGCAGCATTAATAGATAGGAGACACATTTTCACTCAGGCCAGTGCTGGGTGTGTGGGCTCATAGCTCACCTGCCTGTGGTGCAGCCCCAGCCAGGGCGCAGCACAGTAACACACAGTGGTGCAGGCAGGAGTGGTTTAACTGCTTGTTCACAATTCCTGTGCTCCTGCTTTTGCCAAATTCCAAGAGAATTGAAAATCAAGATTTGCATACAAAGCCTTGTTCTAAAAGGTTGGCAGCCTGGGCTTTAGGTAAAGCCTTTTATGGAAGGTGTAAATGAGTGAGAATGAGAAGCACAGGGGGCTGTGAGTCTGGGACCTTGTCCCCCATGGCCTTGGGGAAGACCTTGGCCCAGCCCCAGCCTTAGTCCATGCAGTGTTCCATGTCCCCTTCATTCCTCTCCTGCTCCCAAACTGTCTTCCCTCTGAGGCAAAAGCTTCCTTAAGACTATCCCGGCCGGGCGCGGTGGCTCACGCCTGTAATCCCAGCACTTTGGGAGGCCGAGGCGGGTGGATCACGAGGTTGAGAGATCGAGACCATCCTGGTCAACATGGTGAAACCCCGTCTTTACTAAAAATACAAAAAAAAAACCAGCTGGGCATGGTGGCGCGTGCCTGTAATCCCAGCTACTCAGGAGGCTGAGGCAGGAGAATTGCCTGAACCCAGGAGGTGGAGGTTGCGGTGAGCCGAGATCGCGCCATTGCACTCCAGCCTGGGTAACAAGAGCGAAACTCCGTCTCAAAAAAAAAAAAAAAAAAAGACTATCCCGGCTGGGTGCAGTGGCTCACACCATTAGTCCCAGCTTGAAACAGGAGGATTGCTGCTTGAAGCCAGGAGTTCAAGATCAGCCTGGGCAACATAGTGAGACCCCCCCCACTCACAATCTCTACAAAAAATTTAAAAATTAGCCAGGCGAGAGGGTATGTGTCTGTAGTCTGAGCTGCTCGAGAGGCCAGAGTAGAAAGATCACTTGAGCCCAGGATAAACTTGTCTGTGTTTATCTTTCAGGATGCTTAAATGGCAGAGGCCAAGCCCAGACCCCAGAAGGACATGCAGATAAGGCCCTGCTTCGGCAGATGGAAGGTATTTATGCCGACATCCCTGTGCGGCGCCCAGAGTCCAGTGCACATGTGCAGGGGCTGTACCAGGAGTGGCTGGAGGGGATCAACTCTCCCAAGGCCCGGGAGGTGCTGCACACCACATACCAGAGCCAGGAGCGTGGTGCACACAGCCTGGACATCAAGTGGTGAAGGCAGGCCAAGGCCTTCCAGCTGCGCTTGGGGCTAGGGCTGCTCTGAGGGAGGGGCTGCCCTGAGTGGAGTATTAAAGACACTTCAGTAAACCGCTCGATGGGTTACTTTGGTTTCTCAGAGTTCCCTGCTACCCAGGGGAGGGAGGCCCCCCAGGCAGTTTCATGTGGTGCTATCTTCATAGTGGGTGTGGGGTTGGAACATGTTTTGTTTTTTGAGATGAAATCTCGCTCTGTCACCCAGGCTGGAGTGCAGTGGCACAATGTCGGCTCACTGCAACCTCCACCTCCCAGGTTCAAGCGATTCTCCTGCCTCAGCCTCCCAAGTAGCTGGGACAACAGGTGCACACCTCCACACCTGGCTAATTTTTGTATTTCTAGTAGAGACAGGGCCTCACTGTGTTGACCAGGATTGTCTAGAACTCCTGACCTCCTGATGCACCTGCCTCAGCCTCCCAAAGTGCTGGGATTACAGACGTGAGCCACTGTGCCTGGCGGATTGGAACATTTTAACATGAGAGGAGCACTTCCCCAGTATATCCATTTATCCTAAGATTGTGAAAAAAAATCCCAAAGAGTGAAAATGGAGACAGACTACTTTTAGGTTTAAAAAAAAATAACAGAAAGTGTCCTGTGAAGACCTAAGACCCCCAGAGGTCCTACTGTACATTCCTCGGGGGTGATTTGATGTGGAGTGAGGGTAGAGTTGGGCCAGCTATGCCTGTGGCATCCTGTGTCCCTGGGCTTGTTAGGGTAGGCGGTCCACAGTCCCAGATCCCTGCCCAGTTTGGCTCTTGCTTTTACCCACTCATGTTTTCCTTGAAAATGTTTTTGCCAGAACATTAATAATTGTCAGCCTTTTGGAATCAGGAGACTCATACAAATCTGGATTTCCAGTTTTTCTTGAGAAAAACTATAGGTTCTGACAACAGGAGGCCCCATTCTTCACAGCCAGTCACCACCCTCCTGGACCACACCCAGGGCCCTGGGGACCCCAGCAACGCAGGCCCCAACTCATACGTGTACATTCAGTCTTTGACTTGGACTTGCATCAAGGCAGGAGGAAGGCCTGACTAGGGTGGCAGACAGCAGAGGAGAATCGAGAAGGGTGCCCGCATAAGCCAGGTGGGTGCGAGGGAGCCCCAGCTTCCTGTCAGAGCACCATCGTGGGTTGGGAGTCAGGGTAAAGGCTCCATCCAACCCTAGGTGGGTGAGGCTATTCAGGTGGTCCAGCCTCCTGCAGAACACTTCCCTGTCACCCTTCTCTTCAGACAGATTTCTCACACACGGCCCTGGCCCATCCATTCGCCATGAAGCCCTGTGTTCACGGTGATGGAGCCCCCTCCATCCTGGCACTGCACTGCAGGCATGAGCTTGCCTTAAAAATAAAGGAGAGGCGGGGCACAGTGGCTGGTGCCTGTATACCCAGCACGTTGGGAGGCCAAGGCAGGAGGATTGCTTGAGTCCAGGAGTTTGAGATCATCCTGAGGAACATGGTGAGACTTTATCTCTACAACATTTCTTTTTTTTTTTTTTTT